ACGTGGAGGGAGGTATCGGGATTCACCCCTCGTGGAAGGGGACGGACGAGAGTAGGACGCGGGAGGAGGTCGAGGATCAGAGACGTTCATGGCTGTGAGACCCATGTGGGTCCAGAGCTCCTCCAGGTGATGTGGGCGATGTTTTCGGGACTCGAGCCGCCACATTGCACCCGTACCCTCGAGACTACAGTGATTCCGAGGGTCACGAGGTTGAGGATGAGCCGGCGGGCCCCGCTAGCACCACTCCTGCGGCGGATGAGCGTGATGAGTGGAGCGACCTAGAGGACGTCCGTAGACGGAGTGGCGGAGATGACCTTTTCATTCAGGTTGATTTGGAGGAGGAGTCTGGGGGTCGTCATGGGAGCCCTTTTAGAGCGTCCGACGCCTACGTCCACCGTTTCGCTTCCCGCTGAGCGGGAGACAGATCCTGGGTCTGCACCTTCGAGGGGGGCATAATCGGGGATTGGCCATCGTCCTCTGGGTCGCTCTGGCACGACATCATCCACCGCCCTTCCCACTTCGACGGAGCAGCTTCATCGACAGCCAGCCGTTGCAGATCGATTGCAGAGATTGGTGAGGGGCCCGAGACAACGATTGGAGGACAGATTGGAGGGCGGTCCTGTGCCGGTGCAGGGTGACGACGGAGACAGACAGGGGTTGGTTGGTGGAGATGGTGGTGCGCTGGACGGAGGTGGAGGCGGTGCTGAGGCTGATGCGGCGGTTGAGGGGATACCGATGGGTGGTGGAGGCGGTTTCAGTGAGTTTGGCGATATGGGTATGCCCCCTGGAGAGAGTGTGGGTCTGGCCCTAGGAGAGAGCGAGTCCCGTGGGGACATCAGTGTGGGTATGCAGGACTTATTGGGATAGATCAGCTTCGCGGACCCGAGTAGTTTCTCCCCTGCCATGCGCGCAGAGGTGATGTTGGGGGCAGAGGGGGATGAGGACCGGACACCCCCTGGAGAGACATCTGCAGAGAGGCTGGATAGGCTTGATAGTCGTCGAGCGTGCCTCATGGCACAGAGGGACCCCAGGACGCAAGAGCTCGCCCGTCTTGCGGCCGAGGACCGACAAAGGCAGCTGGGGACATTTACGCCGTCGTCTGTTGACGCGGGGCCAGCTGCCCACACGGATACTCCGGCAGAGGTTCACGACACGACGCAGCGGGAGGCAGCTTCGACAGAGGTTTCGAGTACGGGAGTGGATGTCCAGCAAGGGACGCACGAGAGCGGGTTGGCACCGACAGAGGAGCCACGTTCGGAGCCAGCGCAGCATCCTGCCGTGGAGCGGAGGCCAGAGGAGACATTGAAGGAGGTCCCCGACGTGCCTCTGCTTGCGGGTTCATTCGAGAGTGTCGTGCATATGTCCCTGGGTCTGGAGGACATACCGACGGGGCAGTCAGTGGGCGTTGATGATATTCGCCCATCGGCACAGGCGGAGGGGATAGCGCTGGCCAACGGGGGGGACGGGGCCGTAGCGGGGACCGTTGGTATGTCACAGAGTTTGGTGGTTCGCACTGCTGTGGGGCCAGTGGTGCCACATCAGGCACCGTTTTTGGAGGGTTTTAGGCATCCTGCACATGGCGGTGGCCCGGTCGAGGAGCAACGTGTAGGCAGGGGCGCGTGCATACCCCCGGTCCCTGCTTTTGCGCCGTCACGGACGAGGCCGGAGATTAGGCATGTGGCTACGCCTCGAGGCAGCCTCCCTTTTGGTTTTATGACCGCTGAGGAGTTGGAGGACCACGGCAGGAGGGATTTGACGGAGATCGACCAGCGCGTTTTGAGGTCAGTCCCAGGGGAGGGGAAGCTGCCTCATGTGCAGGACTTATCTTGGGGGCCAACCAGCCCCAGCTTACCTTTTGGGTGTTCCGTCTGAGCACCATTTGGCGGGGCTGCAGGGGGCTTACCTTCTGGAGGTTCCGTCGCAGCGGCATAGGGCGGGGTCGCAGGGGACTTACCTTCTGGAGGTTCGATCGCAGCGCCATCTCGAGGCGTCGCAGGCCCTTCGTCACCCTTGAGCGCAGCTCCGAGGGAGGGCGGCAGCCTCACCCCGAGGTCAGTTGACCGTAGACGGAGAGACACTACCCAGCGTGCGTGGGAGTTGCTGGACACCATGTTATTCGGTCGCACAGATCGACCATGGAGTGAGACGAGACGGGTGACGACGGCGAGTGCCGATCGTCAGCCAGGTTTGATAGGGGTTTCCACAAGCGCGAGACGTCGAGATGTTGTAGCTACAGGGTTTGGCAGTAGAGGGGGTGGCGGCGGTGGCAGTGGTGGTGACGGTGACGACAGACGTGAGGGTGCAAGCGGTGCCACGACGAGCACAGTGGATCCGCCGCGGACGTACGGTTTGAGAAAGGCGTCGATTATTTTGGAGGAGCCTGATGTTGTTACACAACAGAGGCAGACCCGACACGTGCCCTTAGATTGACGCCAGGAGGGGGAGACTTCAGGGACTGACGGTCTGCCTATGGCACGCGAGGCACGCCGACGTGATGACCTAGCAGCAGCAGCCATCAGGACGGTGAGAGGCAGGAGAGTCATTATGGACGACGATCCCGACGAGCTCCCCGTCACTCCCAAGCCTCCCGCTGGCGGACGCGGCGGCCAGCGTCCGAGAGATCGAGAAGGCGGCAGGGGTCGGTCCCACGGAGGAGTTTCTCATCGGTCCCGGCGAGATCCACGTGCGCACGAGGATCGTTGACGGATTATGGACTTGCATTTTCGTGACTTTCTCAATGTACTTTAGTTTGTTGTTATCCATGACAGACGTAGTGTCTCGTGAGGTTGTATTACAGTCCACTTTGCAGTGGGTGCTTTTCTGCGCAGACGTAGTGTTTCAAGATGTTGTATTATAGTGTACTTTGCAGTGGGCACTTGTCTCCAATTTGCTACTTCGGAGATTGTAGCTTTCCAGTGTATTTTAGCGTGCTTTTTCGTCGGCATTTTCGGGTTGGTACTTCTTCCCACAGACTGGTGGGACTTCGACACGATGTGTCGGATTTTTGCTATTATCCTCGCTATATTGGTTTGCGTTTTGCTTCGATCATTACATCTTGGCATTTGCGATGTTTCTGTTTTCAGACGACGAGTGTTTTGTGTGCTTCCAGGCCCCTCATAACCCA